GTAAAGCATCTATTAGCCAAATATACTATTAATAAAATCCTGGGTCACAAGTACTCATCTTAATATTTAAAAAAAAAAAAATTTTGTAAAAAGTTTAAAATATAATGAAAAATTGCAAAGATATTTGAAAATAATTAAAAAAATAAAAAAAATTAAAAATTTAAAGAATTATAAAAATATTCTTAAAATACTGCAAATAATAATGATTAAATAGTTGAAATTTAATAATTATATCTTCTTTTAGCCTTTTACTTATCTAATAATTTTTGTTAATTGGAATTAATATTAACAATTTAAAAAGTAATTTAAAATAATATATGCTATTCAGATTCTTGTAAAATATTTTTTTGTTTACTGCAGCTTTAGAAATATTCTAGTAATATTTAGAAATATTTATAAAAATAATTTATTATATTAATAATTAATAAAAAATATTTTTTAGAATATTTAAAAAACCAATATAAAACATCAAGTAATAAATATTTAGTTATAAAATTGATATATTCTGAAAATTACAAAAAGTTACAAATTATTAAAATATTCAAAATAATGTGCAAATATGTGCAAATATTTAAAATATTTAAATTAATTTTAAATATAAAACATAAAAATTATACTTTTTTAGTGTCTTCTGAAGTTTCAATTGCTTCAAAACTTGATATATTATCCTCAGTATCTGATGTTAAAATTTTTTCATCATTTTCTAACTTTTTCTAATAATAAAAAAATTTTTGGTTATATAAGTAAAAATTTTATAATAATATAAAAATACATATTAAATTTCTTAAAAATTTATATTTTATAATGCTTTTAGAAATCATCAAACTATCTTGCATAGGATCAAGTATAATTTGACAAACCACTATAACATATGCAAGTTTTCTAGAATAACATTGCCAGAAGGCCAAATCTTGTTTAATATAAGTAATATATAAGTATTTTCAAAGTCTTTAGAAGTATTCTTAAAGTTTTCTATAACAAGTTTTAGTTTTTTCAGATTGTTTTTGCTCAAGAATAATTTCAGATTTTGCTTTATTATTAATAGAGGTTAAGAGATCTCCAAATATAGCAAATATAGCATTCTTAATCTTGGTAGTTAAAGTACTTCGCAATAGTCTAAATTTCTTCAAAAACTAAAAAAAATATAGTAAAATTTGAATTTTGAATATATTTAAAACTATTCAAAATATTGTGAAAATGTTTAAAAATATTCGAAATAATTTGAAATACTATCCAATAGATTAAATATTATACCCCTCTCTTATATATTATTACTAACATCCAAATCTAGATAAGCCTTGGCCACTCTTGTAGGTTTAAAATAATTTTATAATATTTTGAATAGTTCTAAATATAATAGTAAATAAAATTCTAAGTATTGTTAAGAAAAAAGACATATCGAGTGATTTTTGGAATATTCTAAAAATTTTAGGGTTTAAAACAATGATCTACATTTAATAGTTACACAATTTATATACTCAAATTTTAAAATAATATGTATAAATAAATTATATATAACAAGATGATAAACTCAACAAAGTAATCTGTGCATACAAATCAACTTTACTATTTTTATACTTGACTAAGATTATTAGTTAATAATGATTTAAAAAAGCTATTTTCATGGATGTATAAATATAAATTAATGAACTCTACTTCCAGAGGCTTTGAAAAGATGAGTAGAAAAGGTTTTTAAAGATGAGTAGAAAAATGCTAAGTTAATAGTTACTCAAATATTTTATAGTTAGTACAAGTAGCAGTTAAATTTCTTACTAATGAGATGTATTAGTTATATACAGTAGCTAGTTTAAACTATTGCAAAAAGTTTATTACATTCAAATACTTTATATACATTCTATAGGTTATATAAGGTAAACAAGCAATTTATAACTTTCAGAGGTGCTGCAGGTTTTCTCTTTGCAGCACTCAAATAATGATCATATTAAATAAAAATATTTATCTAATGCAAATATAATAAAAACTTTGTGATAATAGGCAGATAAACTATGTATTGTTAAAATAGTACTCAAATTTTTATTTCTATATTATGGCAATAGTATTATTCTTGAAACTAATTTATAAAGACTTTAATTCATCAAGAACAACTAAAAATAGCAAACTTTGGACTATCAAAGCATATAAATCAGATATAAATAATCTAAACTCAATTGCTTATGAAATACCAATATATGTCGAACCTTAATACTTTAAGATATATCGAATTTCGATGCTAAACATAATATGAAATCTAATATTGAAAATTTCAAACAGAAAATTACTGTTCTGAAGCTTTGAATTAAACCAAAAAAAAAATAAAGAACTAATAGAAAATACATAATCTCAATATATTTAACTTTACAATATTGGAATAATGGTCCTGCTAACCCTATTCAAAATCTACATTAAAATATATCGACATCTCATGCAGTTAATATATCATGCATCAAAATTCAGAGGTTTATTAGAATTAAGATAGGTGTCTGTATTAGATAGGATTATAATTAAACATTATTTTTAAAGCAATTTATTTTTATTGAAACTTTGAGTCGACACTATTCTATTAGAACATTATTTCAAAATAATGAACCTTTTTAAGTCATTAAGATTATATAAATACATATATAAATTTAGTTAGGAATAGCTGACATAGTGTTAAAGATCAAAAAAATGCCTAAATCTGAGATCTTTATTACAAATGTTGATTGAAACATTAGAGTTAACAAAGGTATTATGCAAGAATATCATACTGGCCTTTTAGAATTTTAGTGAGAATAATGTTGGATTAGAAGAAAGAATAGCATTAGCAGATAAGCTTTGTTATAATCAATTTGGAACAAAAGAAGAAAAAGCTTGCAAGGACATTATACTAAATATTCGATATAATAAACTTGGATTTGAAGACAAAGCATTAGAGATGCCTTTTGTGAGAACATCATGCTAATTTCTTTGAATCTAAAATATAAAGTATGTAGTATTGTTAGTTACATCACAATTAAAATCAAATATATAAATAAAATAAAACTGTATATGTATCAACATCACAATTCATGTACATACATATATAGTAACTCTATTTTACTTCTCATTGAGTTACCTATACTAAAGACGATATATTACTATCCTACCAGTTAATCAGAAGTCCTTCTACATGCATATGCATATACATAAATGCCAAAATCAAATGGGTATATAAATAATATTTATTGTTCAAAGAGAAGCAGAGGACTATCAGTATACAGGTGAACTGAATGCAATGTTATTCCATTATAATATCGATCACTTGAAATTCAAAATGTTTTTTTTATAGAAATTTGGCACTCTGGACATATCGTGCAATATACATTCTTAATAACAGACTATTAATATGAACAAAATAATTAGTCTTTTTATACAATGTAAAGGTAAATTCTTATAAATTCAAATTGAGAAGTTTAACTGAATTTTATATAACAAATAAATTATTATGTAGGTGAACAGATAGATATTTATATGTATAACATATAGCACTTATGCAATATGAACATAGTAAGGTTTTTGTTATAAACGAGTTATTATTATTATATATATACAGTTATGTATGTACTATACTGTATGTACAGTATATATGTATTCAGATAAATAGAAAATCTTGCTTAAATCGGATAATTTTTTTTTTGTATACTAATGCTAATTACAGAATTATAAAATTTTCAACATGATTCTTTTTGTTTAAAATAATTGCAATAAATTGATAGATTTAAATTTTGTTTATGATGATGTCTAATTTTTTTTTACAAAAACTTAATCATTTACATGAAGAACTTGATGAGCTTTATGATTCTTCGCAAGAACTTGATGATTCCTCACAAGAATTTAATGATTTATACATAACTTTTCACAAGAACTTAATTCCTTACAAAAGTCTAATGATTATTCACAAGAACTTGGTGATTATCCTAAAGATTCTATTATCTTGTACAAAGAGAAAAGACAAACTTTTACTTATAAAATTATCAAAGAAGGCATTTACCTGCCAATCTCTACTTTCAAATATACTTTAGTGCCTAATAAATATAAAATACCTAACAATTATATTGTAGAAACTACCTGGGGTCACAAAAAAAGCAAACAGACTGTTAAGTTACAAATTAACTATATTTCTAGTACATCTACCTTTTATGTCTATTTTGGACCCAAGTTTCAAAATTATGTTGTTTCAAATAAGTCGTCTAGTCATATTGCAACATTATTGCATCAGATAGAAAAAATATACATTGTTATTAAACTTTAAGATTAGTATTACTAATATTGTTACAAAGTAGATTCTAGCATAGTATATTATAAATAGTATTAGTAGTTATATATTGATACGGGGTACAAGGTCGGGAACAGCACTCCAGGGACAAGAAGGAATGCGATGAATTGTCGCTTCGAATTCGTCGACGTCGTGTAACGTCGCTCAAGGCAGGTGAGGCAGATTCGATTTGGCACTGGTCTATGGCAGCCTTGAAAACGTTACCAGGAGAGTTTAAAGAAGCGTATTTTTATTTATTTATTTACTTTGACAGTTTAGTTAGTTTATTAATTAAAACTTTATTATTTTTATAGGGCGGGTTACAAGTTTTAGGTGATTCGGGTTACAAGAGGGTGGAACTCTTTCTACTATAGGGCGGAAAAGCACTTTTTTATAGAACATTTTGGGGAGGGAAATGGGAACTTGGGACATGGCTTTGACACCCTTTTTCTCATAGTCATAGACCGTTTTTCCCTTTTTTACTAACACTTTTCCCTTTTTCTTATAATTCATCCGTCATTACTTAGCATCATCCCACAACGGCATACAATCCAACATATGACGACGCATTAACACGGCCACAGACTTTTCCTGTCAAGGTAATATTACTTTGACAGTTGGATTCCAAATCGAGCAGGTGGCTTTTTCTTCAATGGATCGGTGCCGTCACTTAATGAGGAGCTTGATTTGTCTTGGGTCGCGGGTATCGTGGTACGACAGTTTTCGTGGTGCAGATCGTGGTCGTTACGCAATGTTTCCTCAAGGTCCTAGGGTCGAATCTACCCATAACAGTAGGCATAATTTCTTTGAGATCAAAAATGAATTTTTGTCGAAATTGGTATTTAAGTGCATTGAAGACCTTAGTTTCATTTATAGGGTTGGTAAATTGGCGATTGTATAATGGGAAAAATTGTTTAAACCACTGTTTGAAGTGATCAAGTGAATTTTTAAGAGATGGAATATTGAGTTTTTGTAAGAAAAGTGTTTTGGAAATATTAAATTTAAGATAGATATTAATTTTACTATCAGAGCTGATTGTAAGATATTGTTTTTCTTTATCAAAGTCAACTACTTCAGATAAGATTCTAAACCTTTTGGGTCGAAGTTGGATATCTTCAGCAAATTTAATATAGTCAATAGCTTGGTAGTTGTTTGTAAGATAAAGGTGAAGACGTGCAAGATTAATGCAAAATTGTAATCAGTTTGGGCTTGTATAAGGAGGGATTGTTGCAGATGAAGCAAATATTTTTGGGTAGTTATGTTTTGTGAAGAATATAGTAGTAAATGTAAGGATTAATTTTTTTAAAGTTTCTTCAAGTACATTGAAAGGAATTGTTATAGCTTTATTAGTATTTGGATTGTTTTTCTGGATAAAATCAACTAGAAATTAGGGTCTTTCTCCTGCCATTTTGCGAATTATATGGTAGAAGCTAGCTTTAAGAGCTGGTTGATCACCAATTTTAGGTTTAATTTCAGTTCCAGGTTTAAAGTTAAATAGGTGTTGTTTAAGGAAATTAAAGATTTTTTT